TCAGAAAATGTAATAAAAATTTGGGGTGATTTCGGAGCCATTTTTCAGAAAAAACCATGGGTTATAGTCCATGCTTTTTGTCAAGATTTTGCTAGTTTTAAAAAAAGCTCATAACTCCAGAATTTGAGCTCGGAATCGGCTCAAACTTTCTACACAGCATAAGTACATCAATATGTATCAGAAAATGTAATAAAATTTGGGAATGATTTCGGAGCCATTTTTCAAAAAAAACCATGGGCTATAGTCCATGCTTTTTTTCAAGATTTTGCTAGTTTTAAAAAGTGCTCATAACTTCAGAATTTGAGCTCGAAATCGGCTCAAACTTTCTACACAGCATATGTACATCAATATGTATCAGAAAATGTAATAAAAATTTGGGGTGATTTCGGAGCCATTTTTTGGAAAAAACCATGGGCCTTTGAATAGCCTTTGCTTTTTTCGAAAATTGGCTCATTCTTAAATAACTTTCAAATTTGTATATACATACATGTACATACACTATACAACAAATTAACAACTTCACAAAACACAACTCTAACACTTCTATTTCTTACAATGATTTGCTCCATGACACACTATAAGTAAAGGTAACTTTAACCGGTGGTTCAGTATCATCAAGACTATAGGCCGTTGCTCCTATTGTACTAACATTAGCTTCAACGACCTCCTGTCCACTGTAACCAAACGAGAAATGCAAGTGGGTCCAGAGGTAGGTACGATGGTTGTGCGGTAGAAACGCACCCTCTTCCAAGTGACCCACGAACCCTCTCATCAGTAGATCATCTTTTAATAAGAGGGAGAGAGAGAGAGAGAGAGAGAGGGAGAGAGAGAGCGAGGGACAAGAAATGGATGTAATTCGTTAACTACATGTATACGTATGTGTACATGTACATTTACATCTACTAAACTAAATATATTCCTTCACTTACCAAATACGAATTCAAAGTAATAAAGATCCTCGACTGCTTCTTGTAGTTTAGCAATGTCGTTAGCAGTAAGGACCAGTGTACAGAGTTCAGCATGAGGGACTGACTTATTGAACTGGATATCGTACAGAGAGACTGCCATCCTGTCTCCATCTAGGACTTCCCCTAACGTCAAACTACGATGCTCTATCTGTTAATAAAAATATATTAATTAATATAAAATTAGTAAATAATAATAACTAGTACTGTATAATAATAATTATGGTTATTTTAGAAGAATTATTAAAATAACAAAAACCAAAGGCATCTGTCTTGAAAAGTGAAAGACGTTTAGTAAATACATGTAGATTGCTTTGTTGGCTAAACACAGGTATAGTATGATTAAAAGCTCTCATAAAGCTCAAAATGATGGATGAGTTTTTGTGAAAAGGGAATTCATTCAAGCAACTGCATTTATTAATTGTGAATTATGAATTGGAAAATATGTACATGTACATATAAAGTTGTACATGTACATGTAACTCACAATTATTACAACACAAAAATATTAATTAGACTATATGATATATACATAATAATTAAAATTATCAAAATCTAACGAAAGCTAAAAAATCATTAATTAATTAATTTAAAAAATCCTAAAAATGAAAGATACATGTATACATACATGTAATATTTTAAAAGGTGGCAATGAAGTATTTCACTGACCTTCTCAGGTACACAAACAGCCAGAGAATAATAATGATATGTTTCTTGTGGATTGTAATAGGGGCCGACTTTATTTACATAAAGGACAATCTAAACAAAATGAAAATAAAGAGAGAGGGGGAGGGAGGGAACAAAAGACACGATAATAAAACAGTAAACAACCTCGATAAAATTATAAACAAGAACCTTTTCGTCTTGTTTGTATTTAGCGGAGGTAACCGTGTCGATGGTTAGAAGAGAGAGAAGGAGAAGGTAAAAAATGGCTCTTAAATTTGACGCCATTTTGACCTCGCCTACTCGGTCGCGCATTAAATAGAAAATTAAAAAATTAATTTAATATAAAAAATTATTTTTATAATAATTTTTAATTGAGTAAAAAGCAACAACTATTATTGCTAGTTTGCTACTATTATTAACTGCTATGCTGCTAAGGAATTGCATCTTATCAAGCATTTTATACAAAGCACAATATCAATTATTAAATTTACTGTGTAATAAACCTCAAATTTTGCTTTGCCATAGTTGCATTTTGCAGGCTTTGGAGCCCTGCCCTACCTCCAATTTTCCCACATCATGGCTGCCAATAGAAAGAGAAAGGACAACAAAGGAGGCCCACAACTTCCCAGAAAAGAGATAGAGGACCTTCCACCAGCTCCAGCTGGAAAGAAATGGGTCAAAAAGAAAAGATGGTGGAACTGCACACCAGTCAAGTGTTTCCTCCTGATATTGGTTGCTATATTTGTCCTTAACTTCGCCTCACTAAAGAGAGAAGAGAAAGCACTCTTTCCTCAAGGTAAAAAGTCAAAATAATAAACAAACTATTAAATGGTATATATTTTTGATTATTTCTCTTTCCAGGAGAGCTCTATGACATAGGATGGGGTCAGAAACTGTTTATGAGATGCACAGGAAAAGGTACTCCAGTTGTACTGCTAGACTCACCAATAGGAGAGACATCGGACATATGGACGATGGTAGAACCGTTATTGAATAAACATACAAAAGTAAAAGAAAGGGTGAACGAAAGAGAGAGAGAGAAAAACTGAGCCTACTGAAAAATGGTACTAGTGACTTGCAAATTGCAATTGTGAATTGTCAAGTCAAATGTAATTGTAATCTTATCTCATCTTAAATGTTGAATATATCTCATTTCAGGTATGTGTGTATGACAGAGCTGGGCTAGGATTCAGCCACAGAGGATACAGGGTAGGAAAGAGAGATATTGTATAACTGTACATACCAGTATATGTTATAGAATACAACTGAGTATGCTCAAGATTACGGTAAAGAAGCAAAGAGACGTGACACACTAACACTGGGAACTATTGAGAGGTAATGGAGATAGACAGATAGATGTAGAAAGTGAGAGAAGAAGGAAGACAAGTTACTTTAATACTCCAGAAGTGCTTGTAATGCATAATGCTAGGTTTGAGTGGTAATATTCAACACTTGCATTTATACATTATAGTCCCTGGCACTTCTGATAATAGTGCATTACTTTGTACATGTAAATCAACCTTAAGAAGTACTATAATATTATTATATTTATTATTATTCATTATTGTTATTTTTTAGAATGGTTGATGATTTGCATCGGTTGTTACATGTTAGTTCAGTGGTCGGTGATTCAAATACTCCACTTCTACTTGTTGGTATGGATTTCTCTACTCTGATATCACGATTCTATGCACAATTCTATGAGAAGTATGATTAACTAAGAAATACATTTAAGTTACAGTATATTATATTAAAAATACTGGCACTGCATAACAATTCAATTAAAATTTATCTTTTATCTAAATTTATTTATCTAAAATTTTTCTGTCATCTCACATATTTTTATCCTCTTATTCTCAGTGAAGTTGCTGGTCTAGTACTGATAGATCCTTTAGTTGAGACACTGTTTGATAATAATTCAACTTGGAGCCAATATTGGTAAGCATGTCCTTTGATGATATCAACATAGAGACTTTCTTTTCCTTTCTCGATTTTTCTCAATTTCTTCTGTTTCTCCTAAAGGTACAATGAGGTCATCTCACATGTGAGGGTTCTCTATCTCTCGTCGCTAATTGGTATCAACAGGATAGCTCTATTAACCGGTTACATAAAACCGATTGAGAATAAGAAAGTTGTCAAAATAGTCAGCGAAAATATTGTAAACAGACGAGTGAGTTATTTTCTGTTTTACCCTCTTTCTCTCCTTTTGTCTCTCTCTTCTTATACTTGTACATGTACATAATAATAATATTAAATTAATCGATTTTGTTTTTAGAAATATTTAATGTGCAATTCGGTTCATCTATCCTCTGTCATTGAAGAAATTGCCATGACCAATGACAGCCTTGCACAAGTCAAGTAAGCTGTACTATAGCCACACCCAATGGGACAGGCCCACTCTCATAGGACCGTACTCAAGGTGAAGCCATTCCCACAAGATATACCAGTAGCTGTGGTAAAGTATAAGGACTTTGATAAATCAGCAGAAGATATTAAAAAGGTAAAAAATAAGAATTTAAATTTAATGCTAGCTACTACATTTTATTTCTATTTTTGTATTTCCTGCAATGCAATGATATCTCCTTTTTTAGCACTGGGTAATATATTGGCTCAAATTTGGAACAGCTTTAAAATTCATAAAAAAATCTAATCTAAAATTTACACCCATGAGTTCCTGATGCTATAATAGAGAGATGTCCTCAGATTTTTTTACGGTTGTTAATATAATAATAATAATTCTTTTCTTGTAGTTGTGGAATACCGAGCAGGAAGGATTAAAGAGAGTCCACAGTCAGTTAAAGGAGTATTTTATACCAGGAGCTGATTTCAATAGCATGTACCTTCACCCTCAGGCAATCGCCAGCATCATATTAAAATCAATTAACCAATGGAGAGAAGATAATGTGAAACAATGATAATAATAATATAAAAATAATAAATAATGATAATAATAATTAATGACAACTAAGAGGAGGTAGATCTACTCTCTTCTGAAGGCTATG